CATCTTTAGTCCGCCATACTAGAAACCTTGAAAACATAGACTGACTCCTTAGCCCTAAAACCCTGAAGAGTTTTTATGACAAGACCATTTTGGTGACTCTGTGCTTTTAAGGAATATTCATTTCTGTTTGATGACTGTCACTCCACCTTCTTCCCATTCCTGTTGCTTACTTCTGTTGTTTTTGTAGGGTGCCATTGAGTTGAGTACAACACATAGTCATGTCATGAATAACAGAGCTGTACCCTCTCCTATCCTGGGCCATCCTCACAACCTCTGACACATTCAAGCCCATTGCCACAGTGACAGTGTCAGTCCACCTGGTGGGCAGTCTTCCTCTCTTTGCCAACCCTTCACCTTGCCAAGCGAGATGTCCCTCTCCGAGGATAGACTCTTGAGCAGTATGTCCAAAGTTAGTGAGATGAAGCTTGATCACCTTTGCCTCCAAGGAACACTCTGGCTGTATCTTCTCCAAGACACATGCCTGTTCTTTTGGTTCATGAGATTGTTAGTATTCTTCTCTAATACCAGAGCTCAAAGGCATCCATTCTTCTGTCACCTTTATTCATTGTCCATCTCTCAGATGTGTCACAAATGATTGTAGACAACGAATTGAAAGCCTGCCTTATCCTTTGCTATCATCACAATCTGCCATGCTCAAACCCATTATTATTTCATCCTGTCTCATTGAAGGTCTTTCTTTCCTTCACTGACCCTTTCCCTTTCCCAGGGAGCTCTGATAGCCTAGTGGTAAGAAGTTGCACTGAAATCCCAAAGACACGAGGTTTGACTCGACCAGCTTCTCCACAGGAGGATGGGCAATCTTTTGGGTAATTAACTAACTGCCTCTGAAAATCTACTGGAGGCTCAGCTGTGGATCACTTCGGATTCAGTGGCAAACAGCTACGACAACTACCTCTTTTCCCAGCATGATGTCATCCTCCAAAGACTGTCCCCACCAAATTGTGGTTCACCTAAACCTCCAAGAATGCAGTCGCCACACTCCCATTTTCTGCTTTCCTCGGAAGGCAGAGCCCTGCTGACAGGGCTGCGGATGATGAATTTATTCATCGTGGCAGGTGTAGTGGATGAAACGAAAGAGATTGGAAAATTATGTAAAATGTTTGAGAATGTGCACGCCTGTGCTTACATTTAATGGGCCCATTTGAAAAAGTCCCTGAGCCCTGAAGCCAAGACAAAGTTTATTATCTCTGGGTCCGCGTGTTTAAATATTTGTGCTTCAGGAGAGCCTGGTTCAGCATGTTTGCACCCTTCGCCATACCATCCCGGGCTCTGTCTCCCCTTTGCCAGCGTTCTCTTTATTTCCTTCGTGATTAAAACAGTGGCAGGTGCGGGTGCATTACGATCTTTCATCCTGAGCCTTTGGAGGCTCTTACCCAAAGAGAAGTGATGGTCTCTTCCTTTTACCAGTGGAGAAACTAAGATACACGCCAGTTCATCCAAGAAAAGGTAGTGTAGGCACCCCTCCTTTTATTGCACCTGGTTTTAATCCATTCTTCAGATACTGTTTATTTTCCTTTAAAAACAAAACAAAACTCAGCATATTGAAGGTTTGCAGGAACCTTGTACTGAGCGAGTCTGACAGCCCCGTTTTTCCAGGCCCGTGGGCTTGCCTCATGTCTCTATGTCATTTTAGTGATTCTCACTGTATCTCCAAGTTTAGTGATGTCTTTGCTCGCTTAATGGGAAAGGAATTGTGCTGCCGACAGAAAGACAGGCAGCTCGGATTCACCAGCTTCTCCTCGAGAGAAAACAGGGCTTTCTCCTCCTGTGCCTTTTACGGCCTCTGAAAACCCACTGGAGGGTCGCTACGAATCGATTCTGACTCCACAGCCATGAGTGGAGTTTTCGTTTGATTTTACACATAACAGATCTCCTCCCTCAAAAGAAAAACAACAACAAAAACAAACCAAAAAAACATGAAACCTGTTATCCTTGTGTCAATTCCATGTACCCTGTATCACAAAGCAGATTTTCCAAGACAGCAAGTCATTACAAAAGCTGATTGGCTGACCTAACTACCATGAAGCAGCTGGTGGGTTTGAACCACCAGTCTTGGGGCTGCCAGGTAAATTCTTTAACCTCTCCACCCTCGGGACTCCTTAACAGAGTACCCACCTCAATTCCAAACCCAGTGCCGTCAAGTTGGTCCTGACTCAGCTCTCTGTAAGGTTTCAGGATGGCGGTCCTCCTTGCGATTTGCCATGGTGATGACAGGTATGAGAAGAGTGAAGAAGACTCAGAAACCAGGGACTGTTGTCATGAAAGCCAGGACGGAGTAGTGACGAGGGATCCAAAATGAAACATGAACAGGATAATGGGAATCCAGGAGGCGTGTGGTGGGAGGACTGTGGAGAGCTGAGCAAGGACAGGCTTCTGCCATGTGTTGTCCTGCTGTTTGAAATATTGGCTGCTGGTGGAAATGTGCTTGTTCTTCTGTACCACCTGCACAGAACAAGACCGGAGAAGGAGTGGGAGGGTTTTGATTCAAGGCAGGCTGTGTTTCCGTAGAAGGGATGAACTGGACGGACATGACCTCTGTGTACTCAGAGATGCATAGAGTGAGATGCAGCAGCTTCTGTACCAAGTGGACCTCAGTGACTCTGCAAGGTCCCAGCCCACGTTGATAAAGTCTGACCTCATGCTGTTGAATCGATTCCAACTCCAGGGGACTCTGCATGTGAAAGTAGAACTGCTCTCTAATTCTCTCTTGCTGATAACCTTTGGGTTCGAATTTACCAGCTACTTCGTGGGAGAAAGGTGCGGGCGTCAGCTCTGTAATAATTTACCGTCTTGGAAAACCTATGAGGCATTTCTCCCCTGTCCTAGGGATGCTCGTAAGTCAGGATTGACTTGACAATAGTGAGTTTTGAATTGCTACAGAAGCAAATAGCCAGGCTTTTCTTCCAAAGTCACTGGAAACATTCACCTCACGGTGCTGGTGGTTTTTGTTGTTAGGTGCCATCGAGTGGAGTATGACTCATAGCGACCCTATGAATAACAGATCTAAACCCTGTCCTGTCCTGTGCCAGCCTCACCATCTCTCACACTCTTGAGCCCATTGCCGCAGTCACTGTGTCCGTCCACCTCTCTTTCGCTGTCCCTCCAACCTTTGAAAGCATGACGTCCTTCTCCAAGCAATAACCTTTCCTAGAAACATGCCCAAAGTATTTTGAGACAAAGATTTGCCATCCTTGCCTCCAAGGAGCACTGTGGCTGCACCTTCTCCGAGACATCGCTGTTCTTTTGACAGTGTGTGGGATATTCAGTGCTCTTCTCCAGCACCACAGTTCAAAGACATCAGTTCTTCTGTCATTGTTACTCATCGTCGAGCTCTCAACAGCATAGCAAGTTACTGAAAAGCTCGCAGTCTGAGTCAAGTGCATGTTAGTCCTCTAACTAATGTTGTTGCTTATCAGTAATTTGGAGAAGTTCCTGACTGCAGACTTTCCCAGTGCAGTATGTCTCCTGATTCCCTGACTGCTGGTGCCAAGTACAGAGGTAACTCGTGGTTACCGTGATACTAAACACTGTGACACTGATGTGTCAAATGTGATAATGGTTACCTCAGGTGGACAGTATTTGGTGGAGCTCCCCGATTTAAACAAGCTTGGAAGCAGGAGCGGCATCCACTTCTGAAACAGCTTGCCTCTGGAAACTCTATGAACTTGGAGAAACGATGAAAGTTATCCAAGTGTTCAGGTCTTTTGTTCATAGGGTCTCTATGAGTCGTCTATGACTCGATGGCACTTAACAACACCGGTGCCAAGTGTATTGATGATTGGTGATATCCTCTAAGTTACTATTCAACTAAAGTCCATTTGCACCACCCAGGGACCTTTCATAATGTAAGATGTCTCATGGGACCATCTGCATAGGGAATGATATTTCTAATGGAACAGGGCAAACCTGAGCTGTAGCTACCCTCACCCAGCCTGGTTAGTATTGAGGGTTTAAAGAGCTGAGTGACTTTGACACCTGTAGTTCATTCATGGCACCCCAAGTCACCCAGTTCGTGAAGCTGGGCCCTTGGCGGGTTTTGCTGTCATTGCAGGTTTTGCAGTCATTGGAATGCAATGTGTCGAGCACTGTACCAGCTTTGGCACTTGGCTAACTCACCTAATTCAGGCAGTTGTCCTGCATGATGTGTGTCTAAGCCCTTATGTCCCAGCTCACACTGCAGCCTACCCAGGGTCACCCTGCGCCAAAGGCCAAAGCCAAGATTCATGTCTGGAGCTCAAGCACTCGGCCAAGGTTATCCCCTACCCTGACAGTCTCCCCGTCTTTTCTTTTTTTTAAAAAGAAAATTATTTTTATTTTATTATTTGTGTGTGTGTGTGTGTACCATCAAATCAGATCTGACTGGTACAGGAGGACATTGTCCCTCCTTCCCCGGCAGAGCGTCTGGTGGATTTGAACCGTGCGCCTCTGGGATTGCAGTGCAGCTTCTTGCTCTCCCCGTCTTTTCATGATGCCCCAGTTGGGATCACAGATTTCCATCCCTTGTTGTAGGATGGAATGTAACCTGAGAGAGCTCGTGAACCTGTGTCACAGAGCTGCCTCCCTTCCTTCCCCGGGTGGGGGCGCTGCTTGTCAGTCTATCACCTGGGACATACGCCCATGTTCTTGCATGTTTCCAGTTGTCATTGTCTTCCAGCTTGGGGGCAAAGGATGCACTGTTTGCTTATTTGAGCCAATCACCATTTCTCTCGTCCTCAAAATGTAATTGAAAAGAGCCTTAATGGTTTCCAAATGATGATAGCTCCATAAACCGATTAAAAAGGCCTTAATAAAACTGTCTCAAGTTATTTTCCACAGCTGCAGACGGCGGCCTTCGTTTCCTAATGGTCCCAAGAAGAAAGAAGGGCAATTTTTCTTGTGTGTGTGTTGGGAGGGGGCGCAGGAATGACACACAGGGAAGGCCTTCTTCCATCTGGCTAACCACTCTCCCCCTCCCCCGTCTTGTCTCCTTGTCTTCCCAGACCATCCACGTTGCTATTGTCTGTGCCGGGTACAACGCCAGCCGTGATGTCGTCACCTTGGTCAAGTCCGTCTTGTTCCATAGGTAAGTGAGTTTCATACTCTGCAGGCTGGTGCATGGTTCTGGCCACCTTCATAGTTCCTTGAGGGAGGGTTAAAGAAGAGTGACAAGGGGGTTTTTTGCTTGTCTTTAAGCTGCCTTGAAAGTGTAACTTTGATCTGAAACTCTGGGGAGATTAGTATGGTAATATTTAACAGCCGTGATTATGGGCTGTCTTGTAATATTCCGAATTGTAGGTCCAACTGCAAGACCTTCAAGGACAGCCCAATCTGAATACTTGAGTTTTCTAATCTGCGTCCCCTGTGTGGCAGTATTTTTTTCATTTCTGTAGTGTCCAAGATAGGACAATAGGGGCTAGTGGCCCCTTCACCTTGTAAGAGTTACCTCTCTGCTTACATGTCCCTGTTGACGGGTTTATTTGACTATGGCACAGCCTTCCGTAAGGATTACATTTCAATATCAAGAAAACAAAGATCTTCACCACTGGGCTAATAGTCATTATCATGATAGATGAAGAAAGGTTTGAGGTTGTTAGTGATATCACCTCGCTCAAATCCACAATCAACTCCTTTGGCACCAGCAATCAAGAAAGCAAAAGATGAATTGTATTGGGACAATCTGTTGTCAAGGTTCTCTCCAGAGTGCTTAAAAACAACAGTATCAGTTTCAAGACCAAGGTGAATCTGATTTAGGCCATGGTCTTCTCAATTGCTTGCTGTGCATCTGAGATCTGGACAGTGAATAAAGATGATAGAAGAAAAATCAGTGTCTTTGGGTTGTAGTGCTGTGGTATTGAATATACCATGTACTGCCACGAGAACAAATAGACTTATCTAGGAGAGAGTGAAGACAATTTTCTCCTTGTAGGCCAGGGATTTTGAAACTCTGTCTCACAAACTTTGGGCATGTTTCCAGGAAGGACCAGTTCTTGGAGAAAGACTTCATGCTTGGAAGAGTGGAGGGTCAGTGTCAGAGAGGAAGACCCTGGATAAGATGGATTGACACTGTGACAATGGCAAAGGGGTCAAGTGTGTCAGAGACATTGAGGTTGGCTCAGGACAGGGCCAGGTTGAGAGCCATTATTTATAGGGTTGCTTTGAGTCATAGTTGATATAAAACAACAATAACAACAGCTCATCTCTGGATATTCCTGGCCATTAGAATCCCTGCTTTATATTGGATGAAAAATTTTCAAGCTTTAGATGGAAATAGCCCTAATCCAATGCTATGGGTTTTACTGATGTCAAATGAATCCTTGCAGAAAGCAGAGACTATCAGAAGAATGTCTGCTTGTCCTCTATTGACTGTGTAAAGACATTTGACTGTGTTGATCATAACAATCTGTGGCTAACATTGAGAAGAATGGGAATCCCAGAACATTTAATTATGCCCATATGAAATCTACACCTAGACCAAGAAGCTGTTAGTCAAACAGAACAAGGGAACATGCATGATTCAAAATCAGTACTCGACGGCACCTAACAATAATAAAAATACCTTTGGAACCCCTCATACAAAGCATAGCTTCTTTTCCACTTAGAAGTTATAGCATCTATCAGGTCATCTCTTCGCCACCTTAGGCTTCTGTATTTGCTTCCACTGCCTTGTGGGACTTTTCTTGTCCCCTCACTAGTTTTGGATACTCAGCTGATACCCAGAATTGAGTCTCTGTGGTGGCCAAAGCCCTTGATTCCTGCTGTGACATCCTCTTCAAGGATGGAGTTGCAGTTTGTCCTCAGTTGCGTCCAGTAGTGTGGAAATGTATTGGATGACCAAATCATGCTCCAGAAGGTTCTCAGAAGCTGGGACAGTCATGATGGCTGCCACAATTTAGCTTAACAGCACTCTTTGTAAAGTTCTCTACCTTCATGCAAACAGAGAATGGTAAAAACAGAAATGGTAAACGCAGTGGATACCGAAGACCTCCCTCCTACCAACTCTGCAATAAACCAAAGATTTTTCTTTTTCCCCCATCTCTCTCTTTCCTTATGTTACCTGTGGCCTCTGGTTCTCTCTCTTAAGCATGTTAGATTTTCATTTTTTTCCTCTTTTCCATCCCCTAGTTGAAGTCTGCATGCTCACCCACCTGCACTTGTCTCCCCACAACTTCCCCTTTGTTCCCCTTCAATTCCATCTTTACCAATGGCAGATCGCCAGTTCTCATTTAGTGACACCTTTTGGTGACTTCTTATCTTGAGGAGAGAGTAGGACCTCATCACTAAGGCAGACAGACCATGTGAGGCCTGGCCTCCCTCTCTGCACTGTGCCCTCCCCTCCCCTATGACCTTTGTATTTCAGCTCTGAGCTGCTCAAGGCACCACCACTCTGTCCATGGTGTGTTCCGCCTTGCTTTGCATGGTGGTGTGGCCTCTACCCTGGCCTCCCGCTTTCTCCTCCTCCCATCCACACACTGGCAAGTTCTCTCTTTTCTTCTAAACTTAGCACAAGTATGGTTTCTTCTGGGAAACCTGTAACGCTCGCTCTGGTTGGAGATTCCCATTTCTGAACACACAGTTCTACGTGTGTCTATCTAGTCCATGTGTGTTAAGTGATGTTGTGTTTATCTGGAGTCCTTGGGTGGTGCAGTTAAACGTCCGGCTAACTGAGAAAGTGGTAGCTCGAAAGAAGGACCTGGCACTCTTACTTTGAAAAGACCGCAGTCTTTCTTTGGACTCCAGTGTTTCATGCTGAGTTAGAATTGATGACAGCTGGTTTAGTTCTGGATTGTGTGATGCATCTCCCTGAGTAGAATGTGGACTCTCAGAGAACCCAGGAGGCTGTTTTGGTGTCCCTTGGATAGAGACTTGCGAAGGTGGCACCTCTCTGGCAGTTCAAGTCTACCAGCTTCTCTGAGGCAGAAAGATGAGCCGTCCCCTCTCATGTGATTTACAGCCTCAGAAAACCCGCCAGAGGATCCGCTACGAGTCAGTTCTGAGTCAGTGGAAGTAAGTTGAATTTAAGGACATTGGGAAACCCTGGCTTATTTGTCTTTAATTTCCAGTATCAAAGCAACCTATTTGACATGTTTTATATACACAATATGTATTTATTTGTTTAACAAGTGACTCTACAGGACATCATCAATGAATAACCCCAGGATAATCTATTCAACCATCTAACCATTATTGTCCAGTCTACTTCTTTTGAATTTTTTTATTTTATTATTATTTTGTGTGTGTATCAAATTGGGTCTGCTTGGTACAGGAGGAGATTGCCCTTCCTTCTCCAGCAGAGCCTCTGGTGGATTCGAACCACGTACCTCTGGGATTGCAGTACAGCTTCTTGCCAGTAGGCCCCCAGAGCTCCCTATGTCCAGTCTACTTTTAATCCTATTTCCCATTTATACTGAATGAGTTTCCTAGCAAGTCATTTTCAGACTAAAGTTCCTATGTGTATTACATTTTGCTATGAGTGATTTTTTTTTATTATTATTAAATTTTATTAGTTTCAATGAACATTCACAGGGATTCTGGGCTTTCACTCCTTCATTGCCACACCATTCTCTCCACCCTCCTCCCCAGTTTGTTCTTCTTCCCTGCCATCCGAATGT